ATTATATACCAATTTACGCACACACGTAGCTGGAGAAATTTGTCATTAATTAGTCTACAGGTGTTGCGTATGTGTGTGTGTGTGTTTTTGGGTGTATTTATGCACGAGGCGTGTGAAGAATTTGACCAGGTAGGTGCTGGCAGAAGGAGCTCATAAAAATTGGCAAACAAAGGCAACTTTGGACAGCACGGACGTTCGAGCAACTCAAATTTGCGTGTGCAACATTTCTGTGGCATCTGAGGTTTGGGCCACCTACGACTTACGTAAATTTTTTCTATTCTGTTGTTGTTGTGTTGTTGCTGTTGCTGTTCTTTTTTTACAACAATAACGTAGAATCAGACAGGGCAGAGCAGCAACAACAAAAAATAGCTGCGAATGCGAAAAAGAAACAGCAACAACAATAACAAATATATAGCTTTTCACGAAAAGGAACCACAACGATCGATTTTGGTATTGGCAAGGCTTGGAAGGGCCATCAGGCTCGGATGAAGGGAGTGGAAGCGGTTGGCGGGGCGGGGCAGAGACAGAGGCAGCAGCAGAGGCACGGCCAGAGGCAGAGACAGAGTCAGGAGCATGGGGAGGGGCAGGAACTAGGGCCAGGGCCAGGGGCAGAGGTGGTGCCACGTGAGGCGAGGGCGATAATGATGACACATACAGGGGCCCTAGCCTTGCCAACGCTGCGGCAAAGTCACCGTGAATTACATTAAATGACGTAAGACAATGCAAGAAGGGAAGAACGCGCGCGCGAAAGCGAAATTTTCTAATTTTAAATATGATATTTGATTGTCTGACAATTCGTCTGCTGAAGCGAATTAATTTGCCTTTGGCACCGAATTTGGGAAGCATCCCAAACAGTTTCGAAATACGTGAAAGTTAGCAAAGGCCTGAGACGAGTTGGGATATCAGAGAAGAGTCTCGGGTCAACAGGGTATTGTCGATTCAGCAACTGAACCCACAATGCGCTGGCTATATATATTATATAATTAGCAAATTGTGCCATCGGACGTTTTATTCGTCGTTATCGCTGGCTCTGGGGCGAACGAAAAATATGCAAATCGGGCAAAAGCTAAAGCAAACTCTAACTTTTGTGAGCTGTGAAGTAGTTCTTTTGTTCTCTTATAGAAAGTAATAATAATAATGATGCTGATTGGCTTTCCAGCACTGTGTGGCCCCGCCGCGGAATAGTTTTCCTGTTCGGCTAGAGAGTGCATCCAATTTCCTGTCGTGTTGCGTGCCTTCTTGCCATTATTATAAAATGAAAACTCTCAAATTGACAGTGCTCGACCAGCAAATACGCTGTAAAATGGCAAATTAATTATACATTCGTTTGAAGTAAAGCTATTTAATTAGATAAATGCCCTCAGATATAGGAATATGCATGCACACACACACACATATATATATTTATATATATGTGCTCTCATTTGTAAATATTTGTTTACTTTTCACTTCTTTGACAAAGAATAGACTCGCAACTTTAAGAATTTAATGAATTTGCGAGCTTCTTTACATAAATAAGATTCGCCTGTCAAAGTCTTCATGGCTTTATTATTACTTTTATTCTTGAAGAGCTTCCATGAAATGAGCACACGGCGTTAATAAGCAGTAAAATGTCCTGCAAACATCCTGTTCGTTGGCAAGCCCGAAAAAAAGAAACCAAAGGCAAAGGCAAAAAAAAAAAAAAAAAAAAAAAAAGAAAGAAAAGAAAAGTTTACGTTGCACAACAAAGCGCTTATTAAATTCGTCCAAGTTTGTTTCTGGCTCTTCGTTAAATTGGTAGTTAAAGCATAGTCGAACTTCGACTCTAGTTTCCACCACGTAGCATACTATTCCCCGTGGTATGCTTTATCGAAAATCAAAATGAGCTAAGCGAAATTTACGGCGAGCCTAAGGCAATGTATATATAGTAGTAGTATTGGCGTCTACCCTGTAATCATAAATTGGAATGTAAACGGAGTTGTATCGCAGGCAAACGGCACATGCAACATTTGAGGTCCATAAGGCGAATAGTTGCCCGACCTCGTCTAGGCCTTCGCAATTACAGGGTATCATCATGTCAGCTGTCTCGATGCGAATGGAGCATAATATGTTACATTTATAGCAGACATATAAGAAAGTGAGCCGAGCTATTTTAGTGCATTTTTATAGCATCATTTATTGTTATTCTGTGTGCGCATATAGGGTATTATCGAATCAGACAGTTTGGCCCACCTTAATACATACAACATAAAGAACTAACTGTACATCTACTGTGCATACATACATACTTAGGCCTTCAAGGTAATGGTAACAGTAACGGTTACTCGCAAAACACGCAAGCAAAACATTTAAATCGATTTCGAAGCAACCTTAGAATTTTCCAGTCCATCGAGGGAGTCAACAGCTTTTGACACATTAAAATTTGTAGATAGCCTCCTCACAAGTTGCTACAAGAAGTCTTCAGAGGAAGGCCAGCCAAGTCCTTCCGTTCCGTTCCTAACGGAAGTGCAATGAGGTCAAAACTATTCCGCAAATTTAATGAGCTCTACTTAGAAATACGTACATACATACGTACTTGCATATCTACCTATATCCTGAGTCTAGAAACTGGTTCGCCTTAAGCACAAAGCGTGGAGAGTGTAAAATGCATTAAGCATGTCTTGTTTCTATGGTTTTAAGCCCTTCATAAAAAAAGTGAATTATAAATAGAATTTATGTAGGTTTCTTTTATCATATTTAAAAATAACCCAGATATATTCCTTAGCATTCAACTTGCTCGAGCCGTGTGCTACGACCGTAAAGTATTACTTTACAAGTCAATATTTGTGTTACATGAATACAAAAATGGGAAATAGCCGAATGGGAATAGCTGGAATACYGAAAGGAAAATACTCTACTCTCTCTCTATATATATATATATATAGATGAGCTCCACCTTGCAGTAATAATATTATTATTAATATACATATATATCACATACATAATCATATACGATCATTAATATTATTACTGCAAAGTAGAGCTTTTCTATATAATTAATGTTTTTAAGTTACTTAAGCAATTTAATTTAATATATTTATAATTAGCGAAATTTTGAATAAATATATGTACATCTATATTATGACAACTGATGATTGGTATTCATTTTATAAATTAAAAGCAAAAATTATATTAATATTATCCATTAATTATAACACAGTTGATGTACTTTTGAATTGAGTAGAGAGTATTTTTCCATTAATATTTCTATTTTTCTGAACAAGCGACAAAGTCAAAGCTTAGATTTGAATTTGAAACAAATATTAATATTGACAAATATTGCTATTAATTGGTATTCTGAACTACGATTATGAACTAATATAATGACTATAATAATATAATTAAGTTTATATAATGTAATAATAATAAAAAATAAATCAATAAATGAATAAACATATAAAAGGAACAAGCGACAAAGTCAAAGCTTAGATTTGAAT